GCTAAATATTGGCTTTGGGATCTTGGTTTGCGATACTGTCAGACTCTTGGTCTTATCTACCAATTGATTTTTGTGATAACATTTGTTGAGCACCAAGATTTGTCTCTTCAGAGTCTTAAATGCTGGCCAGTAGCCATTGACTCAGCAAAGGATGCCCCCAGAGCACCAATAAACAAAAGCTACAGGGAGTAGCAATTTGGGAAGGCCTGTTAACATTCCCCTTTGTTGTCTGCTAAGGCCTGAAGCACGTGGTGGTGACAGAACTGGTAATAATCTGGTCACATTCTCAGATCAGCCCAGAGCGGGGACTTTATAATATAGTAACAATGGGGGGACCACAGTTTGTTACACCCCTAGGCCATGCCAACCCCTAGGTATAGGCGCAGAACAGAAACTGTGCCATCTTAACTTCCTTGGACTGCAAGCTCTAACGAAACATACTTAAGCTTCTTCTTGCCACCGTGACAATTTGAAACAGCTAGGTTTGGGCAGATGAGCTTGTAAAGCTCCACTTGCTTCAAAAGGATACAGATTTTTAGGGCCAGTCCCAAGAGGCATCAGCGAATTGCTTGCTTTAAGCCTTAGAAACTGCGCAGAAACTCTTGAGAGCCAAACTTTGTTTCTCATCGTCACAAATTGTTCTATGTGTGCACAACGCACTCTGGTCTTCTTTAGGCCTGAAGTGGTTTTTCATCTGGGCGTTCCTCACGGCAGGGAGGGTCTCAGGGTAACTCCGCTTCACCTGGCAGCTCTCCTCAAAGGGAAAAGAAGTGCGAGTGCTTGTGACTTAGATCAGAAGGCTCCTGTGTGTGAAGTCGGTCAGGGGTTCAGCTCAAAAGAGAAGACCCGCCCACCATCCTCTCATTCACCACCCCAAGAGAACACTGAAACATTTGTGGCTACATTTCATTTATCAGGCATGGAGAGGACAAGTCTAAATCGAAAGGCCAGAAAAGCTGTGCGGAGAAATTAGTCCACTATTAGGCTGTAAAAGATACCAAATGTTTGAAAACGTGTAATGGAGACAAGGCCAAACCAGAATATACCTAATTATAAAATTGTAACAAAGGTGCACGGAGTCTCCAAACGCTTAGCGAAACAAGAATTATGTGTCTTTCTCGACTTCTTTTGCTCAAAGGACAGAAAAAGACCACAGGCATTAACCTTGGGTTTCGCAAGTCACTGCTGCCTGTTGGTAAACGGACAGACTCGATGAAACGAAAATGTTCTCTTTGCTGGGGTCAGCTCATGTGAAGGAAGGTGAATTTGAGAGTTTTGTGGGACTAATTGAGAGAGGTCAGTTGAGGTCAGGGCTGGGAAGGGCTTGCAATTAACTGCTCCCCAGGTACAGGGAAGCACCTGCAGTTAGCACCGCTGGGCAGCTGATTGGTGTGAATTGGCCATCACTGCTCAGGAAATTTGGGTTTAGCTAGTACACCTCAGGCCCTGGGAAGGTCGTAGTGTGTAAGGTACAGGCCTCCGGGTCTTCATAAAACCTGAAGAGGGTGGCTTAGTTATTATAAATGTACCTTTTCTGACAGTAAATTTATTCGTCCTTTCAGGAAATAATGAATACTCTTGTGTGAATACCCTTGGGCTAACAGACTATGGAAAGTGTCATCAAGTAATTGGAATTTTCCTGGGATTCTCACACTAGGAGAAGAAACTTGTCTCCTGGAAAGAGATTTTACTGTTTTGACAGCTGGTCAAACCACCTTGCAGGAGATACTGGAGCTGAGTCGAAAGGATTGGGACTTAAGTCCCTTAAAGGGTCTGCTTAATTATGCATACCTCCTGCCCTTTATTTAACCTTAAATCTCAAATCAGAACCTGAAGATGTACATGGGTTGGTCACTGGACCTCTTTGTTTCTCAGAGCAGGAGGCCGGGGCTGCCTTTATCGGTGCCACCAGGGCCCAGGTTCTGACTGTTAGTCTGATGACAGGAAGAGTCCGTGTATTTGTAGTCCACAGGCAAATGGCTGTGTAAGTCAGTTATTGTGTGTGTTACTTATTTTATGTGCAGTCCCTTTTAAACACAGCCCCTGGCACTTAGCAGATATGTCTTAATATTGTTAATATTGCTGAATGAGCTGTTTCATTCATGTTCTTTTTTTCTTTTTTGAGACAGGGTTTCTCTGTCGCTTTGGAACCTGTCTTGGAACTACTTCTTGTAGACCAGGCTGGCCTCAAACTCACAAAGATCCATCTGCCTCTGCCGTCTAAGTGCTGGGGTTAAAGGTGTGTGCCACCACCGCACGACTGTAAGCCATATTCTTTCCTGGACTTTTCTTAAGTAAGATTAACTCAGAAATATGGATATTTTATATGGATTACCAATTAAAAATTAACAGTGGCTCCCTGGAGTAAGCATAGTCTCTTGTTCAGTAGTTCAGGCTATGAGACACACTTCTTTCTGTCCTTTTTGGGAAATCTTTTGTCCTAATCTGCATTGAATTTATGATTATCAAACCTAGCTTTATTTTTGAATAATAAGGGGGCGTGGCTCTGGAGAGCTGGCTCAAGGGTTCAGATGACTTGCTGCTCTTCCGGAGGACTAGGGTTTGAGTCTCAGGATCAACATGACAGCTACAACCATCTGTAACTCCAGTTCCAGGGGATCCATTACACTCTTCTGGCCTCCATGGGCACTGGGAACACACATGGTTCAGACATATATTCAGGCAAAACACCTATACACAAAATAAAAATAATAAAAAGATCAAAGAGGGGAGGAACACAGTTACACAGACACACACACACACACACACACACACATTGTTTCTGAGACAGGATTTTTCTGTGTACCCCTGACTGTCCTGGAACTCACTCTGTAGACCAGGCTGGCCTCGAACTCACAGATATTCTCTTGCCTCTGCCTGCCGAGTGCTGGGATTAAAGTTGTGAGCCACTACCACCAAGCTACCTGAGAAATATCTTAAACACACACACACACACACACACACACACACACTTGTTATGGTTGCCGTGCCATGGTGGGAGGCTGACATAGAGGGATTGCTTGAGGCCGGGGACTGGAGGAAAGGCCTCAGCTCTAGAGGCAGGTGAGAACAAACCAACAAAAAAGATCCTAAAACAATTGTTTTTTGTTTTGTTTTGTTTTCTGTAATCTTTACTGGGTCATAATATCCCACAAAGTCTTAGGGGGCCAAGGGTAGGAAGACAGAGAAAATTAGGGAGACAAAGGAAGAAACTTTCACTTGGAGTCTGAGGAAGCCTCTCTCCGTCTAAGAGTCAAGAACTCATCTCAACTAACATTTGCTGAGAAGACTGTCTACACAGAGAAAATATTGCTTTCATATACTGAAGAAATCCCCATGCACAGCGAGCCCTGAGTTAAGCATAAACAGTACCCAAACACCTGTCTTCACAAAGATTTTTTATTAAACAGAAAGGAAAATTAGAGTGGAGACCTTTGGAGCCAGGGAGAAAACAGCAGCAAATGACCTTGCAGGCGTAGCTTTTGACAAGAGAAAAAGGAGAGGTCAATGTTAGGATGGGCCAGGATGGCATATTTTGATTGTGCATGCCAATTAGGTGAGCCGAAGGAGACTTTTGATGGCTGGATGTCATTTCTTTGATAGCTGCATCTTGGTAGTCAGCTTCAGGAGGAGGAATTGGCCAAGTAAGGGAATAGACCTTGGGAGCTTGCTTTAGGGTTATAATCTCTGGTTTACAAAGGAGAGGGAAGGAGGAAGGGCAAGGGCTGCTGGAGCCCTGTTTGCCAGGCCTGGGCCTGCCTGGGTCCTTCATACACCTTACATGAAACTGTAAAAAGAGCAGCTAGTTACCTTTCTTGCCCCACTGTATATGGCCTTTCTCATTTCCATGTGTAAACCTTCCGTCTTCCAGGAATTTCACATGAAACCCCATTTACCATAAAAAAGAGCATCCTAACTATCCAGTGGACTGCTTGCAGCCCCTGCTTTGATCTTATCACATTGAAATTCCACCTAAGGCGCCATTGGAGTCACCCTATAATTTCATCTAACAAAAAAGGGGAATAAAAGAAAAAAAAGTTTCTCATCAGTCCTTTGAGTTGTAACTTGTTAGGCACCAAAATGGTATGTACGGTACTGGCCAGACACGGCTCTGAAACACACACACGTGCTTCGTATTAATCCTCATATTTAAATCTACCTCGAGAAAAATGCCTTTTTAATACACTCCACCGGGGCTTCACACCGTCCTATTCTCAAATTCCTTCCTGCAGTGTTACCCCAGTGGAGGTCCCTAAAGGACAAAGGCCTGCTAAGTAAGGCTTTTGCGTTAGAACACAGGATCCTTCTCTCCTGACCAGCAAAACAATCGTTTTTAATTATCTTCATTTATTTGGTGTGAGAGCAAAAAATTCCAACCTCAGGCCCCTCATGGATAAGAGATAACATTGTATTCCACAACGTTTAACAAAGGTGAGCGGCCTTCTGCCGTTTACATAGTATTCCCTTTACTTAGTTTTTTGTTTTTGAGCTCTTTGGCGCCAGGAAAACTGTTGCGGCAAGCAAACAAAAGGAGACACACTGTGGGGCCTTGGGACTCTGATACCTTAATCCGGAGGGAACTATCTAAACCTTCGGAGATTGGGTTGGGGGAGGGCATGCATGACTGATAGGAAACTCTGAGGAACACTAAGTACCGGGCTCAGGGCCACTGGATAGCGCCTCTGGTCTGGCAAAAACAAACCTTGGTAGATTTAAGATGCATTGGAGCAGAAGTATCCTATCTTATTCACCTGTCTCCTTAAAGTAAATAAGCGAACCCATCCAATGGACGCAAAGTACAGTCTGTAGGGAGTTGCAACACGTCCCGGAGGTGATGGGCTAGACATCACCTGGCTGACTCGATTAGCTAGCTGCCACCCCAACCTGGGCAAGTCGAGAGAGTGGAGGCTGGAGAGGATGCGGCGCCGGGGTTGCACAGCACATCCGGGCGAGCCAGCAGCGGGCTGCGGACTGCATAATTGATGAGGGCCGGCGCAAAGCTGGGCTGGCCTCGGGTGCGCCGGGAGCGTCTCGGGGGAGGAGGCCAGGGCGGCCGGCCCCTCCCACTCCGCTTTTTCTCGCGTGTCCTGTCCCCGGGACTGGCAGTGGGCGCCCGGTTACCAGCAAGTGTGCGTAGGGAATAAACGGAGACGGATCGCAGCAAGCCGAGGGCGCAGCAGCGACCAGGACCGACCCGCCCGCGCCATGCGCTCGCTCACTGGCCCGAGGGCGTTCGTGGCGCCCGGCTGCCCGCTGGTGCTTCTGTGCCTTCTGGTGGCGACGTGCCCGTATCGGGCAGAAGGCGATCCCACAGGTGCCTGGGGTACAGGGACCGGACCGGGGAGGGCTCTGGGCGCACGAGTAGGGGCGCAGTGGTCCCGACCCTCCAGCCGGAGGACATCCCTTGCAGCCCGCGCAGGGACCGAGGGGGATGCGGGCGCTGGCGGCAGCGGAGCGGAGGTGGCCTCTCATTGGCTGGGTGAGGGTTATCCTAGGAGGAAACGTGGGAGAAGGGGCGGCTCCAGGTCCGCCCGCTCTGGGGGTGATTCCGGTTCCAATATATCCCAGTTTGATCCCGGGAGCTGGTAGTGGGATAGGATCGGGTTTTTCCGACGAAGTGGGCTAATAGAGTGCGTGGGTTCGTGCGGGGGATGCTGGGGGTTTGGCTTCTGCTACTGTGGCTTTAGGAGTCCACATTCCCCGAGGCCAACTCCCTTCACTAGAGGCCACAACGAGGCCCTCGTATCACCTTTCCTCCTGGCAGGTGCTGGCTTTGAGGATGTTTTTTAGAGCAGATGGTTAAAAAAAAAAAAAAAAAGTCACCACACCCAGCCAACGCAATCAAGCCCAGATAAGAAAATTATCTGTGTGCATCTTGTCTTTACATCGTGGTCTTTATCAAAACAAAACTTTTTTCCCCTAGGGTGTTGGGTTGCGCGTTTAAGGCATGTCAACAGAAGGATTTATGTGAAAAACATTACCTAAAGTCAAGATCGAGTTTGCCGAATTAGCTCACCTGTTTATACTTTTCTGTGTCGCAAGCGGTCCTTGTAACCCGCTTTTCAGTGCAAGTTCTGTGTCTGTGAAGGGTTAGCTCCCATTTAAATCACCGCTAACCGCTCAAGCAATTGAGAGACTGGCCCACTGGGAACTAAGCCCAGACATTCTTCTACAGAAGGGTTTCAGCCATTATAGATTGTTTTCATGAGCTTGTAGATTGGTTCAATATACTATTAAAAATGATCAAAGGGACACACACATACACACACACAACTTGCATAAAACCTTTTGAATTCCTCCAGCTTCTGAATTTCTTGCTTCACATCTGTTTTCCATCATAAGACTTAAAAATAATTGTCCAGGGCATGACCCCCTTCCCTGCGCCCCTCCTAGAGTACACCTGATTCTTCTGTCTTCATCCATTCTAAATATTGTTTTCTTTTTTTCCAACCCACTTCCATTCCCTCTTCCCGTTTTCTCACCTTCCCTCCTCCCTCTCTTTTCCCTCCTTCTTTCCCTTCCCCCTTCCCCTTTCTTCCCTCTCCACTTCTTTCTCCTCTTCCTCAGTTCTGAGTGTGTAACTCTGGGCCTCCTTCGTGGAAGGAAGCAGCTCCATCAGGGAGCCACAAATCCAGCCTCAACTGTTGTTTTGAGAACCAGAGTATTTTGGGTTAGCCCTAGAAGTTTGGTTTTCCACTTGTCAGTGTGTGGGAATTATAGAAGAGCTTTCAAAAGATTGATACCCAGGTCTTGTTTTAGAAAAATCTGATTTATTTAGCATAGATGGCAGTCTGCCTTAATATCTTTGGAAACTCCGTATATGAGGCAAAGCAGGCAAAAATCACATAAGAGGACCCTGAGGGTGTATTGTTAGATACTCTGCTGGCATTTCCTTGAACTTAATGCACACACCTGGCTTCTAAAAGGAGGTTGAAGCTGTTAATAAATGTGCCCAGTGACAGAGGGGATCATGGGACTTCCTTACAGTCTCCACTCAGGTGAAAGTTCTGAAACAATGGGGAATTTGAAAAGCACGGCATCTGTGTCTACTTTGAAGCGGACCTTCAAAGTGGTTATACTTTCAGCGATGGAAGAGCACTGGCTACTCTTCCAGAGGATCCAGGCTCAATTCTCAATACCCACATGGTAGGGCATAGCCATTTGTAATTGCAGTCCCAAGGAGATCCTATTTGATGCCTTCTTTTTTTTTTAAGATTTATTTATTATGTATAGTGTTCTGTATGCATGCATGTACACCTGCAGGCCAGAAGAGGGCTCTATATATTATTGTGAATAGTTGTGAGCCACCATATGGTTGCTGGGAACTGAACTCAGGACCTCTGGAAGAGCAGCCAGTGCTCTTACCCTCTCCTGCCCCCATTGATGCCCTCTTCTGGCCTTTCTGGGGCACAGACATAGATCACACACACACACACACAAATAGATAAAGTAGTCAGGTCTACAAAGCTTTCTAGATTTAGTATTTTAATGAGATTCATCTTATTTGCTAAAACTACTGCAAGTTTTAATGGATGCCTTTTGTATTTATACTTTGAACTACTTAGAGATAGGTGTTCTGCTCAAAGAAGACCTTGGGGACGAATTTCATTAACAAACTGGGTACAAGTCCCTCTACTTCCGTTCTGTAAGAGATGTGTGCCAGCCCCTGTACGCTGCCGTGGGTAGCCTGATAAGTTAGATTTTATTTTCTCCAATTTTCAAAAGAGGAAGTTGGGGCTACCGTTAAGCAATTGCCCGAGTACACATAGTTAGTTTGGTGGTTAAGCAGAAAGTTTAAAGCTAGTCTGACTCCACAGCCTGTCTTTTTAAACACAGTTTTCTCTGAGATAACCGGAAGCATTGACCAAGAGTGTAGTGTGAGAGTCTGCATGCATGTTAGGAGCTGAGGGACACATGCAGTTTTGAGTCCTGGAATGAAGTCAGGGGTAAGGCACAGAGAGTGAGTTACTGGCTTTTTCAAGTTTTCTTTTCTTATTTTTTTAATTGTTTTATTTATTTTGTGTATGTATGTACGTACACGTGTGCTCATGCATGGGTACTACAGTCTGCTCCTGAACATCAGAGGCCAACTTGAAAGTCATCTTTCTTCTACCACGTGGGCTCTAGGAACTGAACCCAGGTTGTCAAGCTTGACATTGGGGTGCCCTGGTCTGCTGAGTCATCTCAGCAGCCTACCCCCTCTTTTTAAATTAAATAATAGATATAAAACTACCTTTGTGAAAGAAACATTATAACACAGGAATATTTTGCCATCATTATTATTATTATCACATGGAGCAAACTGAGGGAATGGGTTATTTTTGAAACCTTTTCAATGCTATAGTTTGGAACTTGCATCTTAACTTCCAAAGAAATAGCTTATACGCTATTTTGATTTGCTCCCTTCCCTGTTAGTCCCTATATTTTCTAGTAATAAATATTTGTGAGAATGTATCATATTTAAATGCCCACATTTGCCTGATAACGTGTTTGCAGAAAACACTAGCAGTTTTTGTCTTTAAAAGTATTTAAACTTCGGCTGGAGAGATGGCTCAGCAGTCAAGAGCACTGACAGTTTTTCTAGAGAAGACTCAGGTTCAGTTCCCAGCAACTACATGACCGCTCCCAATTGTCTGTAACTACATAGTTCCAGGGGACCCCAACACCCTTACACAAGCAAAAATACCAGTGCACATAAAAGTATAAAAATAATTTTAAAAGATGCTCTTAAAAATGATATTTAAATTGCTTAAATGAACAGACTTATTATAAGCCCATCTTTATATTGGGGTATTTTAAATTGGGATGTTTCCACATTTTAGTCATGTTAATGTTTGTTAAGAACATGTTCAACCAACTTTCATCCTGGTCCTTCGTCACCCGGCCTCAGTTCCTTTCTCTTCGTGGTTTCCGGAGTGGGCCTATAGCCATTGGAAGAGCAGGGCAGGAGGGATCTTTACCTGGTCTGGTAGGTGGGGCTGGCATCACAGAGAACCTGGTGAGGATGACTACCAGGGAAGAGAGCGGATCAGGGCGGGAGGTTAGGCTCTGCACAGCGAAGGAGATGCTTCCACAAAAGTTTAGCTCACCCCTGGTTTCAGAGTTGAGCAAAGTGACAGGGGCTACTGAGCAGGGGCAAGGAGACCGGTAATATCTGACCCACGCTCCAGAGCAGACAAACACAGAAGGTCGAGTCTGAGTGAGAAAGGAGAGTGACTCTGGGGGGACGGATGTGGCAATTGCAGAGGGATGTTGTATACACGGGAATTGATCAAATATGGAAATCTATCAGGGGAAGCAGGATGCAGGTTTTCCATTAGGGTAGGAGGAAATAAAGAGGAGTGGGGGAGGGGAAAACCTTTGGTATCAGTATGAACTTATGACTACAAATTTGTCTCTTCTTGTCACAAATGTACAAATATGTGTATCATGTATAATGTACATGTTATATATGTGTATATTTCATGTTACAAGTATGTTGCTGTGTGTTTGAGTTTGCATACACATGTTGGTAGCTCTGCCCACTGACTTCTAGGTGTTGGCATCCAGCCCTATTCTTTTTAATAATATTGGAAAAATGGCTGATTTCTCCAACGTGTGGAGCAGTGTGTAAACCTGGGACATCCTCCACCAGAAAACAGGAAAGTATTCAAAGAATGATGAGCCATGTCTCAAAGAGTAAGGAGCCAGTTTAAGGGGTTCACACAGAACAGTTCTGGAAAAAACTGCGCATTCAAATAAATAAGAGTCCTAAATGATGATGGCATTTCACTGAGAAGGGTCTTGCTATGTAGCCTAGGCTATCCTTGTGTTTATGATCCTCTTGCATTAATCTTCTGCGTACTGTTATTAATGGATTATAGCTAAACGAGAGAGAAATTCATGAGTACAGATTGATTAAAAATTAATCAAATTGGTCGACTGTTTTCTGAAGAACAAAGGATTTCCTAGTTTTTCCTATAAAAATCTTACAAGTACGGCTGGAGAGATGGCTCAGTGGTAAAATTTTAAAATTATTTAAAAAGCTCACAAATAGCAAATATTGAAAAAATAACTTAATGTTAGGGAACTACATTTAAAGTAGTACTGGCAGTACTACTTTAATCAAACAAAGTGAAAGTCACTACAATATTTTATTAAGGAGTTTTCTTTTAGGGGCTGGAGAGATGGCTTAGAGCTCAAGAGCACTGGCTATTCTTCCAGAGGTCCTGAGTTCAATTCCTAGCAACCACATGGTGGCTCATAACCATCTATAGTGCGATCTGATGCCCTTTTCTGGCATAAAGTCAATAGGGTGCTCATATACATAAAATA